CAGGAGGAATTTTTAAAATTCGACTTATCAATAGTAAGACGGCCTGGGCAGATAGTGAGGCGCCTGTCACTAAGAGGACCCATTCTGGATGTTTCCAGTGGATGTGACCACACTGAGGCCTCAGCCTTCTCAGCTCAGAGACCCTTCCTCACTACAGCTCCACAGCAGGGGGGCCCTGGTCGGGTCAGAGCCCTGGGTCCCCGCTGTGTGACCTGGGCTGTGTTTCTGAGTCTCACTCCCACAGTCACTAGTTATGCTGGGATCATGGTATCTGACAACTCACAGGGTGTTGTGGGTTAAACTGAATAATTCATGCAAATGTTTGTTTTATTTTCATTGTTGGCTTTTTCTCCTTTTTTTTATTTACATCATGAAAACTCAATTCCACACTTTCTCCCTCTCCCAGATTGTTATTTTGTGTGTGTGTGATTGCACAGCATTGTTATAGCAACAACAAAAATGAAAGAACTTTTATAGTATCTATGCTTCTGTATGGACACTAGTGTTTGTTTTCCTGTCAGAAAAGGAGTTCAGGACACAGAGTGGGGGAAACATTTGCATATCATGAATCTGATAAAGGACTGTATCTAGAATTTACAAAAAATAAAAAAGCTTAAAACTCAATGAGAAGAAAGAAACAACCCAGTTTTAAAAAGGACAAAGCAGTGTTGTAAATGAATGGTGCCTCATTTGAAAAATGGACAAAAGTCTTTAACAGTCACTTCACCGAGAAGACACACAGATGACAAGGAAGAACATGAACAGATGCTCAGCATCACGGGGCACTAGGGAAAGACAAAAAGAACAACAGCGACGCCATCACACCTAGTAGGGACTGAAAAATGCAAACCCTGCATAGGTGCTGCCAGGACGTGGACAACATGAGCCTCATCACTGCCAGCAAAAGTGCAAAATGTGTGGAAGATCTTTGACAGTTTCTTTGAAAACCAAAAAACCTGACATACAGCCCAGTGATCACTGCCCCAGCTAGTTACCCACTAATTTGAAACTTATATTTGCACAAAACCCTGCATGCATGCAAATATTTATAGCAGAACACCCATAAGTGTGAGTTGCACATAGTGCTTCCTTCCAAAGACAACAGCATTTAAATAAATGGAACAAAAAGAAGTTTGGCAGGAAGAAATCTGGGAAACACTGCCTTAGCCTGGTGTTGAAGGTTAACACCATCAGTGATCAGTCAGGTGGACATGATGAGCACTGACGTGTTGAGTGGACAATGGCCCTGCACCCCTGGGGTCTGCTTCCCCAAACCCACAGTCCCACTCAAAAACAAACAAAAAAAAAAAAACCTTAAATTGAGGTACTATGTTCCTGAGTAGTGCTTCTTGATGGAGCCTGAGAGTGAAAAATTAGGCCTCCCTCGTGGCGCAAGGGGTTAAGACACAACCTATGAAGCTGTCTGCAGCCACTGCAGCATGAGTTTGATCTCCAGCCAGGGAGCTACCCACATGGCGCAACAGACCTCTCCTGGCTTGCCCACTGCTCCCCTCAGCAGTGTATTTCAGTCAATCTGTGTGTTCTATTCCCCACTCTGTCTCTGGTGAATCCTCTCACCCCTCACCCCTCCAGACACACACACCTCTGGCCTGTGCCCCTGTTCTTATATGCATAAATAAATTAATCTTTTAAAAAAAAAAAAAAGAGTAGAAAATTAGGGTGGAGGGGTCACATGACCAGAAACTGGAGATGGGGGTAGAAGTTATTAATATAGTTATTAAACCAACTATAGAAATGAAAAACGCTTTGGGCCAACTGCTACAGCAAGTATCAGACGCTACAGGACGTATACAGACCAGAGCTGGGATATGCGGATGGAGCCACTGCAGAGAATCACTGGTCCTGACAAATCAGCCTAGTCACGCCATGGAAGTCATTCATTTAAAGACAAATAACAATTGCACAAAGGAATGAGCCCTCCCAACTAGAACACCACCTCAGTGCCCTTTCTGACCTGGGAAGAGACAGCTCTGCTCCCAAGGCTGCCGCCTGGGCCTGCAGGCTTCTCCTAACACACCTGCCGTCTCCAGGGCAGCTCCTCCTGCCTGCTGGTGTCTGCACAAGCATCTTCTTCTTTCCTTTTGTGTGTGGGGCGGGGAGGGGTAGGAGCATGGGGGGGTGGGCGTGGAGTGTGGAGGCCGGGACACGCACACCACTGAAAGGAGGACCTTGGGGGTGAAACTTTTCTTCTAAGAGGTGACCCAAGAAACCCCATCTGTGAACCCACGACCTCTCCAAAACATCACTCCTCACCAAAGTCAATGTTTCAAAAATGACGAAAGTCTGAGAAACTATCATCCAGGCAAACTGGGTGGGATTATGGAGCATAAAATGGACATTAGCAAAAACTAATGGAAGTATGGCGCTTAGTAATTATGTCAACACTGCTTCATTAGTTGTAAAAAAACTTTACTCATGTAGGATGTTAACAAAATTAGAAATGCTGTGGGATAAATAAGAACTGTACAACCTTTGCAACTTCTCTGTAAGTCTCACAGTAGTCTTTATATTTTATTTTTTTAAAGATTTATTTATTTATGCATACAAGAACTGGGGTACAGACCAGAGGTGTGGGGGGTGAGAGGATTCACCAGAGACAGAGTGGGGAACAGAGCAGGTAAATTGACTGAAATACACTGCTGAGGGGAGCAGCAGGAGAGTCAGGAGAGGTCTGCTGTGCATGTGGGTACCTCCCTGGCCGGAGATCAAACTTGCGCTGCAGAGGCTGCAGATAGTTTCAAAGGTTGCCTCTTAACCCCTTGCACCACCAGGGAGGCCCTAAATGTTTTGGGGTTTTTTTAATGCCCTCCAAATTTTACAGGTTGTAGAAGGAAAAAATCTGTCTAATTTCCAGTTTTCCTAGGCGTTCTGAGAAGGAAAGATGGAAACCTCACACACAGGGCAGGGCTCTGGAGTGTCCTCTCCTCTGAGCCCTGGTTTTCTTGCTCCACACAGAGCATCTCAGCCCCCAGGACGCCTCCCTCCAGGACCCCCAACTCTGAGAATTCTTTAGAATTCTCTGTGTGCATTAGGTCTTTCCCAGACTCCAGAACAGCGCGGCAGCGCCCCCGTGTGGCCACAGGGCTGAGCACAGGAGCCCAGAGCTGCCCTTTCTCCTCAGCCAGACCCTCCCCAGGCTCCCAGGGCCCCAGCTGCAGGACAGGGTCTGCACACAAGGGGGCGCCTGAGTATGTGTCAGTTTATCCTTATTTTACTCTCCAGTGGTCTCTGGGACATAACAACTTGTTCCTAGGTTCTGGGCAAATCCCCAAATATATAGGCTACCTCAGTCCGTTGGTATAGAAACTTAGATCCCAGGGTCCCTGTAATTTGTTTCTGCTTCTGTTTCCAAGGACAAAAGCCCCTCCTCCTGGGAATCACCTCACATTCTCCATCCTTTGGAGGACAGGAGGGGCCTAGGAGAGCCCCCAGGGCAATGGCTAGGAAGATGGGGAGACTCCTGGAAAAGAGCAGAGGATGGAAATGGGGACTTTAGGGATCAGATGTGTAAAGGGGTGCAGTGGGGAGCCAGAGAGGACCGGGCAGGGAAGGGGCAGCATAGGGGACACTGTGGGGGGAAGGTCTGTGTGGGTGACATGTGCTCTCACTGGGGGGCTGGGAGCGTCTGTCCCACCTGGTTGAATGCAGCAGTGCTGGCCTGTAACTGCCCAGGGAACTGCGCACATCCGGGGCCCTCCTGTCCTTGCAGGGCTGGTGTCACCCACACACACACATGCTGGTAACGGAGAGGACTGTAACAGGGGGGTCCCCAGGGGAGGATCCAGTTTCCCTGCCCCACCCAAGGAGGGTGGAACTGAGCAGGGAGAAGCAGCAGCTGGAGAGGATTCTGGAGAAGGAAGGAAGCAGGATGAGCCACAAGGAGACCTGGAGGAGGCACATGGAGCAGAGAGACACGTGAAGAAGCTGCACTTGCTTCTTGGCCTTGGACTGGGTGGCACAGATGTGGGTAAGAGACCCGTAGGGAGGTTACAATGGCAGCTTCTATCTTGATTTTGCTCTTTTCCTTCCAGACTTGTCAGTCCCGTCCACCCTTTCTCTATGGGCCCCTGCCAGGAGGTGATTTAGGTGGCATTCAGGTCCTGCTTGGGCCAACCATGTTGGCTGAATATTTACCCACAAGGGGACAGGTGACTTTGAATGTTTGATTTGGAAACTATTCTTTGCTTTTTCTTTGTTGCACACTAATTGTATTAAAGTTCCTTTCCATTAAAGGTCTTACATGTTTTGTCTTGATGCAGCAGATGGCAGAGTATGGGGGAGATAGATGGATAAGGGGAGTCCTTAACCTATCCTTACCCAGAACATCTCCCTAGTTCCCCAATGCTGGGGTGTCAGGGAAATTCAGGGGGCCAAGAGGAGGGCAGAGCAAGGCCTGAGGCGCCCTGGAGGACCAGCCCCGGGGGCTGATTCTGGGGGGCTCCAGGGCCCCACTCGCTGCAGGGAGGTCAGACTCAGCCCTGCACACAGCTCCAGGACACTGACAGCCCCTCGTGCCGTGACCCTGCAGACACCGCTCAGGATAGCATGAAGAAAAAGAAATGAACAGAAAATTAAATGGAATCTAAAAAAGGTAGACATAGTTTTTTTTAATCACGTTTATTTTGAAAGACACTTCAAGGGACATCGAATCCTTGTCTGACAGCTCATTGTTATCCTGACCTTGACTGTCTGAGTTACACTGGAGCACCTGTTCATTGTGAGAAAACAGCCACTGATCAATTTATCGCCTTAATTTATTAATGGTTTGTACAAAATCACTTCCTACTTTGTACCTAAAACAACAGGTACAATCTGGCATCTGACTATGCATTCCACCCACCAAACAACTCTGCCTGGCCCCGTGAGAGGGCGTGAGAGGTGACCAGGCTCTCCTTCAGTCCCTTGGGACAGGATGAACTAGAACCAGGGAAACAAAAGTGTTCTGGCAGTTTCCCAGAGAATTCAGATGGCACTCAGAGAGGTGGAGAGAGATTTAATTGTCACACTGGCAGGCTCAGTGGGATCGCTCCCCAAAGGGCTGAGCACCAAGGAACAAGAATGGCAAGGTTTTATACAGTTTGTATGAGAAACTTGCTATCCCATCTCTCATGGCATAAGCATTCTTTATTGTTCGGGAAGGGGGTTCAAGGGTGTCATGGCAACCACCTCAGACAAGCATTGCGGTACACCCAGCAACTTCTCCAGCAAACAGCAGAACCAAAGCGGTAGACTCCCCCAAGCAGCAGATTTGGGAAGGTGACAGAAACTAAGCATCAGACTCCCCCAAGCAGGAGGTTTGGGAAACATCCTGCTTCAGGTTATCATTGTGTTCTAAATCAGGGGGTCGTGACTGGATTACGAAGGTGTGGTACATGTACACAGTGGAATACTACTCAGTGATCAAAAACATAAACTCATGCCATTTGGGAAATATGGATGGGGTAGGAAGGGATACTAAGTTTGATAAGTCAGAAGGAAAAAATAAATATCAGATGATTTCCCTTATATGTGGGATATACGGAAATCAAACAAAGGGTCAGATAATGACAAAACTTGCAACCTGATCCTAGATCTGAGGCCTACAGCAGGGGAAGGGAGAGAGATGGTTCCAACCAGGGAAGGGAAGAGCACAAGGGACTGTAGTGATGGATCATGGGTGCTATGGTGGTGCGAGAACTATAAGGACTACACCTGAGAGAGAAATCAAATATTATACAAAAATTAACAATGATGTAAGAGAACAAATAGATTTAATAAAAATTTTTATATCAATCACTGACAGCTAGAAAACAAATAAAATTAAATAAAGCAGAGGATTCTGAAGTTACAAAATGGGGGGAGAGAAATCCTATAACATTCAGCCCCACACAGGCTGAGCTCTCATTCTATGATGGAAAATAATATTGAAGAAATTCGGGTGAATTACATTAAGTGATAACATTCTCAATAGCCCACTGCATCCTAAGACTGTCCCTCTCACAGCTCCCCACAGCCTGGCCCCATCCTCTGGGGTGTCCCAGGGGGTGAGAGACATCCCAGAGTCCTGGGACCTGTTGCTGCCCGAGGAAGCACAAAAGAGACCTTGTCAGAGCCCAGAGATGAGACCCTCAGAGGAACTGATGAGGGTGACTCTCCCTAGAGTTCCCTCTACGCTGTCCTCAGGGGCTCAGGATCCAGCCCCTGATCCACACTTACCTGCAGCCTGACTGTAGCTGATTGCATGTACCCCTGTGGGAAGAAACATCATGTGAGACAAGGGAGGAGTCAGCCCATGGAACCCTAAAGAAATCCCCAAGTCTGAGTCACAGGGAAGTTTCTAGAACAGTGACTGAAGACCCAGGTCAGGACTGGGATATATGAAGAATGGATATGAAAGAGAATTGGAGTCTTTCCTCAGCAGGGTCCTTCCCCTATGACATTTACTGGGAAACAGATCCCCATCACCACAGTTATAAGGGGAACAATTGGTGATTCATTTTCACAAGTGCTTTACAAAAGAGTGAGTGTTCGCAATCAGCTCCAGACTGGGCAACACATGTGTGTGGATCGGATTCCCTACTAACCAGGAAGGGTAAGTTCTCCCTGGGACATGAAAGCCCCCAGTGGACAAGATCCCCCACTCCCTTCCCTACCTGAGCGCCTATTCCTCCACCACACAGCGGCAGCCACCGCAGCTCCAGTGAGCACAGCTCCAAGGACAACCAGGCCAGCAATGAGGCCCGCGGTGGGGATGGTGGGCTGAGAAGGGGGCACTGGAAGGGACAGGAAGGTGAGACACTGAGCCCCAGGCTACATCAGGACCCTCTGAAGGTCTCCAGAAGGGCTCCTGATGACCCTGAGCAGAAGCTCAGTGCCCATGTTCTCTCCTTACCCCAAGTCAGGACTGTAGGCTCCAACAGTCCCTCATGATGCACATGGCACGTGTAGCTCTGCTCCTCACCAGAAGGCACCACCACAGCCGCCCACTTCTGGAAGGTTCCATTTCCCCCAGGCCTGGTCGCCACCAGATCCGTGGTCTGGGTCAGGTTCTCCCCATCTCGCTGCCAGGTCAGGGTGATGTCCGCAGGGTAGAAGCCCAGGGCCCAGCACTTCAGGGTGACCTTCTGGTCAGAGGTGGGGTGGTGGGTCACCTGTGTCTTTGGGGGATCTGAGGAGAAGGGTCAAAAAATTCACACTTTGGGTTTTTCCTTCCTGGACACTGAAGCAGCCTCACCGACCATCCTCAGAATGGACATGACAGTTGGTTTGGAGGGAGGAAGCACAAAGCACAGAAATCAGCCTGGTCTGGAGAATCTGGGATAATCGGGTGAGAGCCCAGGGTAGGAGGATGCAGGTCTCTAAGGAGAACACAGACATTCGCTCTTGACCTGGGTGGAGGGTGAATGACACAGAAAGGCAGGAGTCAGATCCAGAAATGTTCTCAGACCAAAAACAAGACCTTGAAAGAGAAACTCATGGTTCCCAGGATGGCTGCCGGGTCAAAAGCCTCCAGGGAAGAGTTATTTCAGGATGGCCTCCCTCCCTCAGGAGAGACTGGATTCCTTAACCGTCCAGAAAAGTGGTGTCTTCTGGGCGAGTCTCTCTCTAGCACAGAACATGAAACCCAGGGGACTCTCCCTCTCTGCCCAGAAAGCAGGTGCTGTTCTGCCCATTATTCCATTTTCCCTGTGGGGCGCCAGGAGAGGGGAGGTCCGAGGCCTTGTGGCCCCTCTTACCTGAGCGCTGCAGCACCTCCTTCCCCAAAAACAGGAATCTGAGGAGCCACTGGAAGCACCTGCTCTGCACACTGTGCCTGACACGCTCGGCCCTCCCCGAGGCCTCCCACTCCTGCTGGATGATCTGAGCCACCGAGTCCGCGGGGATCCAGGAGCGCAGGTCCTCGCTCAGGGAGATGAAATCCGCGCCGTCGTAGGCGAACTTTTCATACCCGCCGCGGAGGCTCAGGTCTGGCCCCACTTCACAGCCAAACATGCTCTGGAGGGTGTGAGACCCTGTGCCCCGCCCAGCGGTCAGCCCAGGGGTCACCCCCCAATCACATCACCCTCCCCCACACACACACCCTGAATAAACCTAAACTGAAATGAAAGGGCCGGCAGGACAGTCCCTTCCCGGGGGAGGGGCCTGGTAGATCCACCAGCCTCGAGGGGTCAGTGGACCCTGAAACTCGGGACACCCCGGCCTTAGGGTGGGAATGGGGGGTGACCTGACCCCGGCCCCGCCCCGTGAAGCTCACCGCCCTCGCTCTGGCTGTAGCGGCCGCGCAGGTCCCTCAGGAGTGCTTCGAACCACTGTGCATTGTTCCTTTGGATCCCAGTCTCCTCATCCAGGGCCTCCTGCCCCACCTGCCCCGCCCAGGGCTTCCGCGGCTCCACACTCTGGCCCGGAGAGCTGATGTTGAACCGCCCGAACTGCGTGTCGTCCACGTAGCCCACGGCGATGTAGCGGGGCTCCCCGTTGTGGCTATTGTTGTTGCTGTTGTTGTTGCCGTTGTGGTACATCGTGGTGGAGAAACACCTCAGGGAGTGGGAGCCTGGGGGCGGGAGGGAGACCCGGGCTGACCCTCCTCTCAGCAAGGGCCCAGGGCCCAGGGAGATGGGCCTGGAGGGCAGAAAGGGGCGAGGCCGTGAGAGTGAAAAGGGGGGTGGGCCAAGAAGGGCCCAGACTCAGGGGACCAGAGCACTCAGGGGAGGCGGGAGGGACAGAAGGGGCCACAACACAACGGGCCTGAAGGGGCTACAAGAGGTTGGGAGGAGATGAGCCTTTCCTGGGGTCCTGCACCCGCAGGGGGCTCCTTGCTCCTCCCTCCTGGAGCAACAGTGTCCAGCTGGACATGCACTCACCCGCCGGGGTCTCCATCAGGGCCAGGGGCGCCCAGAGCAGCAGCAGGAGGGTGAGGGGCATCACACCCCATCCAGGGGTCTGGGGAGAAGGAGTCCAGGTCCTTGGAGACTTTGTAACTGGAGCAGGATGATGCTGATTGTCTTCCCTGGACACCCCCAGAAAATGGGGAGAGAGAATGGGGGTGAGTGTGGGGTCATCAAGGCTGCACCACCCCACAGAGCCTGTGAGAGGGAGACATGATGCTGTAACAGGGTGACATCCACAGAAAGGGGAGGCTCCAAATTCCCTTCCCCACTTTAGGGAGGAGTGGATTTGGGCTGGGAGAAGCAGCAGCCTGGAGGAATGAAGAAGCTAGTAGTGTTTTCAGATAATTATGAATATTGATACTAAATTAAAACTGTACAGATGGTAGTTTTTCGAAGGTTATTTGCTAAATGAAACCTGAAATAATATCTGGAATATTTCCTATTCTGTTACATTTCCATAGGCCTCTCTTGCATACTGGCTGGAACTTGTGCTAAGGTATGATTTTTTAAGGTGAAACATTGTTTCACTAAGTTACATAGCTTTTTAGTGTTAATTACACTGGAATCAAATGATCAAAAAAGTTTTAGTTTTTAATCACAAATCTCAAAAGAAAAATTTGTACTGTAAATTGTAAAGTAGTGATCACTCAATTTTTCATAATTCTAGTTTTATCTGACAGCTTATATTTTATCAGGCAAAATTACTGTCATTTGCCAATTGTTGATTTTCTACAAGAAACAGACATTCACCCTCCCTGGTGGCACAGCGGGTTGAGCACAGCGCTGTGAGGCTGTCCGCAGCCTCTGCAGCACGGGTTCAATTCCTGGCAGGCCCAGGAGAGTCCCACACAGCATGGCAGATCTCTCCTGTCGCAACCACTGCTCCCCTCAACAGTGCTTTCATCTGTCTGCCTGTCTGCTCCCCACTCTGTCTCTGGTGACTCCTCTCACCCTCCCACACTTTTGGCCTGTACCCCAGCTATTGCATAAGTAATAAAAAAAAATCTTTAAAAAAAAAGAACCAGACATTCATTTTGAGGAAAGTGTCTGCTAATTAACCAAATTTAAATGACCTTAGTTTTTGTCATTTATCCCTTCAGGTAAGATTGGTGTTGCCCACAAATAAAAAGAGTCTAATTCATCTCATACAAACATTTTCCTCGGGACACGGTACTTGGGATGCCGCAGAAGTGCTCTGTGTGTCCTTCCAGGTCAGCACACCAGATCTTTTAAAATGTGGAGTTGAGGGTGACACAATAATGAAGATAACTTTTAATGCTTTTTCCAGGACATTTTCAAGTGAAACTGACTTTGACTTTTGTTCCTGCAGGTAAGTGCTGGTGAAGAATTACTGCTTCTGCAGTGGTACTATAAGCTCCACTCTTACTTAATTTTACCTCAGCAAATGCCAAAATAGTGAAAAGACAATTGTGTCTAAGTGATGTTTTGAATCTAGTTTTACCCCATGGATCCCATGAAAGGCTCTGGGTGACTTCAAGGGCTCCACAGACCACACTTTGAGAAATGCTTTTCTCAGTGAACCAGGGAGCATCTCCCAAGTGTTCTCTGCCTTTGCCTCCTCTTCACTTCCCAGAATCCCTCTCCCTGGCTGGCTCCTGCCTCCCCAAGCTGCCTCCCCTGCAGATACAATGGGGAGCAGAAAGAGGCCCCTGGAGACATGGAGCTTGCACCGTCAGGAGAGATGGACACTGAGTAAAGGACACAAAGACACGTGTAAACCCGACCTGAGCCCCGCGCTGGGAGGAAGGAGCGTGTATACTGTGAAAGCAGAGAAGCAGGAGCCCTAACACTATTATCAACAGTATCAAGAGATGAAAAAAATATTAAAAACAAATTAAGCATAAGGAAAACAGATTATATCTCTTCCCACAGCTGTCACTCCTGCCCCTAACACACACGTGCTCTGTCCCCATAAACCAGCCTGTCCCCTCTTCCCTCAGCCCCCATCCACATCCTGCCCCAGGACCCAACCACATTGAGGAGGCCTGTGGCTTAATCTGTCTCCTGGTCCTGGCCCCATCCTCACCTTCATCTGCTCTTCTCCTCACTTATGATGCTTTGAAGGACAGGCCTCCCCAAGATGTTCAGAAAGGTGTCCCCCAAACAGGCCACTTTGGCATGTGAATTATTTCCATCTGAGGTTCATCAGGGGTTCATCTTAAGAAACGTTTACCACTTTGTCACACAACCAACCCACACAGGTAGGTCCATTACCAGTTCTAGTGGGGGGCCTGTTGATGTCTTGATGCTCTCCGCTTTTCATCGTCACCATACTCCATCGCACTCTCCACTCTCCGCTTCTTCATCCACTTCACCCCACTCTGTTCTCAGCACTGCATTGCACTGCGCTGCACCACACCATGCACACCATGGCACACGGCGCCATACCATTTGGCTGAGTGCGCATGCACAGTGGGAGGGCGGAAAAGTCTGATGCTTTACCCCCCTACTTATCCCACAATCCACCCCCTCAGGGTTTTCTGCCATACAGACTACATACAAGTATATACAAGTTTCCTTTAACAAACATAAGCACTGCAGCCATGGCCCACAAAAGCAAACAGCATACATACATCACAGCATAACTAAGTTCAATTCTCCAAGGGACAGAAAGATAAAGAAGTCACTGGTACCAGCAATGGGAGATCCCTCCCATCTGGCAATATACATGCCAATTTTGTGTCCAAAGATAATATCGTAGCTGTCATCAGTGGCCTTCCAGGTTGTGAGTACCATGCTCACTTTGCCAGCGAAGAGGCATCAGTGGGCTCTACATGTAGCAAGAGTGGAGAGCTCATAATAGGCCACAGAGTCATCACAAATGTCCCCTTTAGGATTGCCTTTTGATCTGCCACCCCAGGGTGGGTAACACGCACCTGTGGCGACCACTGTGCAGTCACCCATGGTGTTATTTGTAAACTGGCCTCCAGGCCATGACCCCAAGGGGCTATCAGAGCCACCCAGCGCACATGGGGAGCCTTCACAGTCCAGCGCCACTCCCAGTCCACAGTCTGCCCTGGGTCCACTCCCATCGGGGCTGGCAATAAAAGGTTGCCCTGCTGTCCAAATGCAGGATTTAACAAAATATCTGAAGTTTGTATCTGCAATTGGATGGGCACAGTGGCACGATGCAGCAGTACCTCCACTGGAGCCAGGCTGCCTTTCCTGCTCCTCTCATTTAGTGTTTGTAGCACGTCCCACAGACGTTGGCTCCACCTGGCCAGTGTCAGCCCTTGCTTTAGCAGTCCGTTATACTGCTCTATGATCCCTGCAGATTGGGGATTATAGGGAGTGTGAAACTTCCATTCAACACCCATGTCCTTGGCCCACTGCTGCACCAGGGCTCCTGTCAAATGAGTCCCTCGGTCGCTCTCCACTACCAGCAGACGTCCATATGCAGCACATAGGCGTGCCAGTGCCGCCAAAACTGCCTTTTGGTCCACATGTGGAGCTGCCAATAACCCGGTAGCAGTGTCTACACAGGTGACCGCATACTGTTTTCCAATCGTAGCGAGGTAGTGGTCCAATGATGTCAATCTGCCAGCGTGTCAGGGGTACCTGTCCCCGCAACACCTGGCCTGCGGATGCGAAAGGTCTCCAGGGGTAAGTCCTGGAACACACTACACATTATTCACAATCAGTCTGAACCTCCTCTAAAGTTATAGGTAGACCCGAGGCACGCACAGTGGCCCACATTGTCCTTTGCCCTGTGTGGAGCAAGCGTCTGTGCAGCCACTGCGCAACATCCCACTTCGGAGCAGTTTCAAGCTATCAAACCCGGACTAGGGTATCTGCTTCATCGTTGCCTGGTGAGGCCAGTGGGCATATTCTGTGACATGATAAACAGTCGCCTGCTTCTGATGCCCTAGATCCCATAGATCTTTCCACAGGGCCTGGCCCCACAATGGCCACTGCATGACTGTCCAGTCATTTAGATTCCACGTGGAAATCCAGTGTCAGGCCCCTGTACACAGCCCAACTGTCAGTACAAATGACTAGAGAGGAAGGCTCATGGGCCACCACCATACTGCTTGCAGTTCAGCCCGTTGGCTGCTCTGTCCTGTCCTGGTTTCAAACCAAACAGTGTCCATTTCTGGGTGTACAGCCACAGCTGTCCAAGAGGCTGGCTGGCCCTGGCTGGAGCTGTCTGTATACCAGGGCACTGCTGGAATCGGTGCTCGTCCCTCCTTGTAGGGACTAGCTTCAGGTTCAGCTTCTACAAAGTCTTCTGAAGTTGATTCCATACTGACATACGTCACCGGACCAAGAACCTCCTGCAACTCCGCCCTTAAGGGGCTAGTTGACAGAGTGTAGTGCTGTTCTAGGTATGCCCCCACTTCACCAAAGTGGGCGTTTGAGCAGTACCTCGATTGGGCTTTGTCGTCCAGTCCCGTACCCACCCAGCTATTGGGTAAGTGGTTCTCACTGAGATAGGAGCTGTGGCAGTTATACTTTCAGTAGCTAGTAAGGCTACATATACTGCAGCTAACTGTTGTTCAATTAAGGAATACCTAACCTCAGCCCCCTTCCAGAGTTGGGACCAGAACCCAATAGGCTGTCGTAGCCTCTCCAACTTCTGCCAGAGTCCCCACCCGAACCCTTCCTGAGTCACATGCACATCTAGCTCACAGGGTCAGGCTGGGTCAAAAACCTGCAAGGCCTGAGCAGTCTTTATAGTCCGATTGGCCATGGCAAATGCTGTGTCTGCCTCAGCTGACCAATCCCGCCTGGCCCCCTTAAGTATCAACATATACAAGGGTCGTAGGAGCTGGGCCATGTGGGGCACAAATGCCCACTAGTAACCGAGCAGGCACAGAAAGGCTTGCAGCTGCCTCACTGTGGTTGGAGTGGGGTAAGCTTGTACTTTATCTATTACAGCATCAGGGATAACCTTTGTCTTACCCAACCAAACAACCCCCAAGAACTTAACTGACAGTCCAGGCCCCTGCAGTTTGCTTTCCTTGATTGCCCAGCCACATGTTTTCAGGTGTGTCAATAGGAGAGGTACTGCCTTTTCCAAAGCTGTGAGAGAGTCACTAGTCAACAAAATATCATCAAGGAAATGATACAAACCCACTGAAGATGGCCTCTCCCACAG